ATCCAAATATATAGCAATTTCTCCATTTCGTGGATGGGCCCGCTTTGTTGCTTTGTTACAACTGTTGATCGCATGGGTGCAGAACCTTTCACAGCTTCACGAATTCTTTCTTTATCTTTCAAAATTGTTGCCACAGTCGAGTGTGATAACTTCGTATCACGTGCGATCACATTCACTTTCTTTCCTCCTTCTTACTGCTTAATTACCTTCATTTTCGTGCTGAGATCGATGGCCTTTCTTTCCTTCTTGGCAGGCTGAGGCGTAGACAAAGACAATTTCCTCTTGGTAGACATCTTGGGAAGAGTTTGATGAAAAATATCCAAGACACAAAACACAAATTGCTGTACCGAGTCTGGGATAACAGTTGAAATGGTGCACGCGGAGATGGTAGTGCTGCCGGAAGCTGGTCCGCACTGTCGTACGCCCAGCTGGGCAACATTTGCGCTGCCAGACGCGGAGCAGTCGTGGCTAGTGATTGTGGTCGTAAAGTCGAGTGGTCATAAGTTGCATAGGTCGTAAGTCGATCAATACCTGTATGCAGATTTTTTTTTTTAGATTTTTTTTTCTTTTTCCTTAAAATAGCAACAAATAATGGGAGAGGGTGCTAAATAAATATACGTTAGTAGTGATTGGTTAAATATATTCTGACTCATCCAAACAGCTACTTTCTAAGCTGCTTGTAACATTACTACCATGCACAAATGGCAGCATGGTTCTACTTCCTTAACGAAGGCCGGGTGTGGTGGCTCACACCTGTAATCCCAGCACTTTTCAAAATCCCCGTTTCAGGTGTACAATGAAGATCACTGGTGACATGACAATGTCATTTCCAAGTGGAATTATTAGTCTTCACCAGAAATCCAACTCCAGCTGTGTTGTGCTTCAGGGTGAAGCTTATTAGCTTTTACTCAGACTAGATATAAATAAATAATTATCCCTTGTCTTAGAGGTGAAGTCATTTGAAAGCTCCATATAATTCATTTTTTTAAAGATGCAACAAAAATTTTTTATTGTAAATTGACAATTTATAATTGTATAAATGTATGGGTTACAAAGTAATGTCATAAGTTGTGGATACAATTTGAAATAATTAAATCAAGCTAGTTAACATGTCTGGTACTTCCAATACATTTCTGTGATGAGAACATCAATTTTGAAATGTATAATAACTCTATTATTAAGTATATGTACCACACTGTACAACTGAACTCAAAAAAAGTATAAAACATTCTTCCTGTCTGAGATTTTGTACCCTTTGACCATCATTAATTTTTTTTTTTTTTTTTTTTTTTTTGAGACAGTCTTACTCTGTCACCCAGGCTGGAATGCAATGGCACAATCTCAGTTCAAGCAACCTCTGCCCTCCCAGGTTTAAGCGACTCTCCTGCCTCAGCCTCCCCTGCATCCGGGACCACAGGCACGTGACACCACACTGGCCAACCTTTTTTGTGTTTTTAGTAGAGATGGGGTTTTGCCATGTTGTCCAGGCTGGTCTCAAACTCCTGGCCTCAGGTGATCCATCCACCTCAGCTTCCCAAAGTTCCGAGAACACAGGTGTGAGCCACCTGGCCTAAAATTTTTATGAGACAAAATATCAATTTCAAAATAGCATCAAAAAGTGAGCAGGCCAGGCACGGTGGCTAATGCCTGCAATCCCAGCACTTTAGGATGCCAAGGCATATTTTTCTGTACTAAAAACACAAAAATAAAAATTAGCTGGACGCAGTAGCATGTGTCTGCAATTCCAGCCACTTGGGAGGCTGAGGCAGGAGAACCACCTGAACTTGGGAGGCAGAGGCCACAATGAGCTGAGCCCACAACACTGCACTCCAGCCTGGGCAACAAGAGAACAAGAGCGAAACTTCGTCTTGGGGAAAAAAAAAAAAAAAGCATATTTAAGCATCCTCAGCTTGTAATAGAGCAAATGGGTCAACAGAATAACAATTCATGCTGTTGCCTGTGTAATGAACTGTCAGCAAGAGAAAGCTGGTCGAAGAAAGGCAGAGGAACTGTGTCTTGTAAGAATTAGAATTGAGGGGCTCTGGCCAGGAGTGGTGACTCACGCCTATCATCCCAGCACTTTGGGAGGCCAAGGCTGGCGGATCACAAGGTCAGGAGATTAAGACCAGCCTGGCTGACACAGTGAAACCGTGTCTCTACCTAAAAATACAAAAGATTAGCCAGATGTGGTGGCACATGCCTGTAGTCCCAGCTACTTGGGAGGCTGAGGCAGGAGAATCGCTTGAACCCAGGAGGTGGAGGTTGCAGTGAGCCCAGATTACGCCACTGCACTCCAACCTGAGCTACAGAGTGAGACTCTGTCTCGTAAATAAATAAATAAATAAACAAATAAAAGAATCGAGGGGCTCTGTAATCATCTGGCAAAGTATTGTATCTATAGTTTGAAATGTACTGTACTTGATAGGAACTCCAGGAATCTTATGGATTCTTTTTTTAAGGTCCCAGTCAACTGTGACCACAATGTAACACTTATGCTGAGTTACCCTCTGCATTAAGCAGTCATCTGCATAGGTTCCTTTCAAATCTTGGATCCTTGGCCATCCTTAGAGCCACTCAGTACTTCTGCCCCGATTTCTCAATTTCAGCCATTACACAATCAGTTATACAAGGGATACACTTGGCATACAGATAGTCCATCATTGACTGTATTAGTCCAGTTTGGCTTTTATGGAAAAGTTGATAAAGCTGGTATCAACTAGGACATGGTAAAGTGGGCCCAGCTGTATATTATATTGGAAAAATAAGCAAGAAGTGTGTTGGGGAACTTCAGTTTCCTTTAATGTGCTGGGATCCTTTTCTTTATTTTTAGGTTTTAATCTATGCTTTTCTTCAAGCCTCTGATCTCTGAGACTAAGCATTCGCTTCCTGGGCGCATACTTCCTCATTTTCTTTTGCTTCCCCATGTTCGTGCCACACTCCTGTTTTTTCCCTAATCACCAGTGGTGCCACACTTTTACGTGGGACACATTTTTTTGTTAGTCAAACTGTCTCTTTCCTTTCTAATGGTTCAATAAAGGTAAATGCTTTATTCGTGGATTTTAGGGCATAAATCTAAAGCTCCGTGAACTGAGTTGCTTATCATGTAACACTTTGATTTTCCTTTTCTATTACCAAATCTCTTTTCTACTCTAATACTAAGTTATTGTAAAACTATCACAGTTTCATGTACTTCCAGAAACAGGAATGCGTCTTATCTGAACTTTCTAAAACTCATGATGAGTCAGAGAAGGCCAGTCTTCATTAGTAATCAGCACCAAATTCATTTCAAAGAAAGATCTGTGTGGACATAGGATTGGTATGGAGAAAAATATAGTGATGAATTAACTGTGTCTCTTGTGTAGTTGAGTAATGGAATTTCACTGTTGAACCCTGACCTGAAATATGTGTTTTCTTTAATCAAAGTAGAAAATCAGTTGCTGTAAGTAAAGAAACCGTATTGTGTAACATAGAGTTTTTTTTTTAATTAAGTACTAACATTATTTTTGTTTCTGTTCCAAACTTTGAAATCAATGCATCTGGAGAAAATGGAAACTGTTTTCAAGGTCCTTTAGAATATATGTTTATAATTTTTTTTTTTAAGACAGAGTCTTGCTCTGTTGCCCAGGCTAGAGTACAATGGCACGATCTTGGCCCACTGCAACCTCCACCTCCTGGGTTCAAGTGATTCTCCTGCCTCGGTCTCCCAAGTAGCAGGGATTACAGGCACCTGCCACCATGCCCGACTAATTTTTGTATTTTTAGTAGAGAGGGGGTTTCACCATGTTGGCCAGGCTGGTCTCAAACTCCTGACCTTGTGATCCGCCTGCTTTGGCCTCCCCAAGTGTTGAGATTACAGACGTGAGCCACCGCGCCCGCCTATACATGTATTTTCTTACATGACTGGTAATGAATCAGGTCTCTTTCATGCCATTGCTGTTAGAGGGCCTCTGGTGCTGGAGTCCTCTGGAGGACTGGGCTGTCAGGGTCGGGGCACAGGGGTGGAGTGAGGCGAGAGGCTTTTCTTTTGTCTTGTGGTCTCAGGGCCTCTCTCTCCTCTCCACATATCCTCTTCATAGGTCTCTCCAGCAGGGTAGCCGGACATCTTACATAGTGTCTTAGGGTTCCCAAAAGCAAGCATTATAAGAGGAAGCAAAAGCTGCCAGTGCTTTTAAAGATGAGGCTTGGGTCTGACATGGTGTAACTTTTATTGCATTCTATTGGTTAATGTAGGTTACAGGCCCAGTCAGTTTCAGATTAGAAGAGAACAAGGGAATGAGGCTGGGTTCCTTGGAGCTATTTTTAGAGATGAACTATCACCGTAATATACCTTAAAATACTTCACTTTAGATAGTTTGTGTGTGTTCTAGGCATAGTCAGTTGCACTAACCAAGAATCTATGAGGTGTGATTAGCTGGCAGTATATGGGAAGAGCTGTGCTACATGGGGCTGCCACTATACGCCCTTCAGCTGTGCAAATTTTGATCAAAACTAGGCCAGACAGGTGGATGTCTCTTGGTGGGGGAGGGATTTCCTGTCCCCAGGGACAATGAGGCTTCCCTAGGTTGGACCTTAGTGTGACGCAGTCCCTCTTGCTGACTCTTCCCACCTCCCCACTGCTCTTCCATCCCCCTGTGTCTCCTGGTGTGGTGGAAAAGTCAGGCATGACGGGAAGGAGAGCACTTCCATTACCAAGTTATTGTTTAGTGGGAGCTGGCGGGAAGAGTTCTGTCATTTAATCCTCCTTGCTGTTGATGCTAGTGAATGTCAACTGCCACAGTGGTCGCCACTTAGAGATCATCAACTCCTACCTCTAAACCATGATCTTAATCTTCTCTCACCTTCTCTGGCACATCCCTTAACAAGCTAGAAACAGAACTCTGCTTTTTTCCATAAAGTACCAGAAATAATGATTTCACCTTTAAAAACTGCCTTCTCGAGCAGGTGTCCTTTTGGTCACCCAGATTTCACTGGTCCTAACTTTCATCAGGTTGTTGTTGCAGAACGTGCCAGTCGAAGCATTCACCAACTGAAATGTGCCCTGAGAGAAGGTGATGTCACTATTGGAGAAGATGCACCAAATCTTTCTTTTAGCACCAGTGCAGGAAATGAGGATGCCAGGACAGCTTGGCTCGAACTGCAGCAGAGCCATGCTGGTGAGTATGAATGTCAGTCCTAGCCTGAATGAGGCATAGTGAATTTTTGAAACTGCGCGGAATAATAACTCCATTCATTCTCCGTTCTGCTGCTATGATGTTATTCCAAAACACAAATCAGATAATTTAATTCTCTTGCTTAATCTTTTTTCCTTTGACTTCCCAATGCCTATAGGCTGAAGTCCAAAATTCTAGTTATAAAATAACAGTGTTTTCCTAAGATAGCTCCCACCTGCCTTTTCAGCTCATCTTGGTATACTTCTCATGCTAACCATCCGTCTCACAACTCATGTTCTAGTTATAATAACCTCCTTGCTGTGCTTTTATGCTTTGACATGTGCAGTGCCTTCTGACTGGAATTGTTCTCATCCTTTTCTGCTTGGTGAACTCCTTCCTGCTCATCCTTGCAGTGTTGTCTCCTCTGTGAAAACAAGCACAGTTAGGTGCTTCCTCTTCTTGTAGCACTGTGCATAGCTCTAGGTCTACATACAAACTTATTGTATATTTATTAGTGTCTCTCTCTGGCTTGCTAGAGTCTTAGCTCTTAGGGGGTAGAAATTCTTTTTTTTTCATGTTGGTCTTTGTATCCCCAGTTGATAGCAGAGTTCTTGATGCGTAATATATATTTCAGCAATTTTTATTAGTTGGAAGGGTGGATGGGTGGTAATAAACCATGGATCTCAAATAAGATTAATAAACCCCCTGCTTTTGCTTTATAGTTAATCAGCTCAAAGATTTGTTGCGCCAACAAGCAGATAAGGAAAGTGAAGTGTCTCCGTCAAGAAGAAGAAAAATGTCCCCTTTGGTAAGTATCAACTTTTCCAACTTGACAAAGGATTCCTTTGTTTGTTTGTTTGTTTGTTTGTTTTTGGATGGAATTTTGCTCTTGTTGCCCAGACTGGAGTGCAATGGCGTGATCTTGGCTCACCGCAACCTCTGCCTCCGGGGTTCAAGCGCTACTCCCATCTCAGCCTCCTGAGTAGCTGGAATTACAGGCATATGCCACCACACCCGGCTAATGTTTTGTATTTTTAGTAGAGACAGGGTTTCTCCATGTTGGTCAGGCTCATCTGAAACTCCCCACCTCAGGTTATCCACCCGCCTTGGCCTCCCAAAGTGCTGGGATTACAGGCGTGAGTCACCGCGCCTGGCCAGCATTCCTTTGTTTTGCTGTACTGTGTCATTTTGTAGTACATGTTGCAGAAAAAATTTAATCAGGGCATGCTAATAGTGAAAAACATTAAAAGTAATTCTCTTCCCTCTGATTATTTTGGCTGAAAAAATAGATTTCCATGGCAGAGCAAATCTTGATATTTTAAATTTATCATTTACTTGGAAAATGGGAGCAAGGGAATAGTTTGAAGAATTTATTTTGCAACTGTTGGCAAAATATGTAATATAAATATATAATATGTAATAAATTAATATAAATTATGTAAGTTTAAGGAGAATATATGTAAAAGGTAAAGTAATGGTTTTAGTGATTTCTGTTTTAGAGGGTCATGTCTATCTTCGATCATTTTTAGAAGTTACTTAATTTTAATTGTAGCTCTCTGTTGTAATATTTTTTTTAATTTTCAAATTTCAAAATAATACATTTTATTTTTAATTATTTCTTTGAGATGGAGTCTCACCCTGTTGCTCAGGCTGGAGTGCTGTGGCATGATCTCAGCTCACTACAACCTCTGCCTCCCAGGTTCAAGCAATTCTCCTGCCTCAGCCTCCCTAGTAGCTGGGATTACAGGCGTGCACTACCACATGAGGCTAATTTTTTGTATTTTTAGTAGAGACAGCGTTTCACCATATCGGCTAGGCTGGTCTCGAACTCCTGACTTAGGTAATCCACCCACCTCAGCCTCCCAAAGTGCTGGGATTACAGGTGTGAGCCATGGCGCCCAGAAACACCTTGCATTTTCAATGTGTTTTATAGTTGAATACAATGCCTATAAGCTCAAAAGTATGGAGACATGTCACCTTCATTTCTTCACTGAAATGTCAGAATTTCACTCCTGTATTAACACTTCATTCCAGGCTGACACATACTTTTTTTTTTTTTTTTTGAGACGGAGTTTCACTCTTGTTACCCAGGCTGGAGTGCAATGGCGCGATCTCGGCTCACCGCAACCTCCGCCTCCTGGGTTCAGGCAATTCTCCTGCCTCAACCTCCTCAGTAGCTGGGATTACAGGCACGCGCCACCATGCCCAGCTAATTTTTTGTATTTTTTATTAGTAGAGACGGGGTTTCACCGTGTTGACCAGGATGGTCTCGATCTCTTGACCTCGTGATCCACCCGCCTCAGCCTCCCAATGACACATTTAAGCTTAATTCCCACTTTAGAGAAATGTACCTCATATGCATATTCAATATTTATAGATATAGATTATGATTTTAATAAAACATTATTTAATGAATTTATTACTATTGACATCTGGTTTCTAAGATGCTCTTAAGCACACAACTGGTGGAATGCTTTTAAGTCTACTAGATGAAGTTGCTTTATCTGTCGAATGCTCAGACATGCTCATTAGCTTTTTAAAATCTGAGCAGTGATACTATGGGGCTTATTGAATCCAGAGAGGCAGGAAGACCTTCATTAATAGAATGAGCTTAGTACATATAAAGTACACTTTAAAATACACAAGTCTATTTATATAGAGCTATGTAAAAGAATGGAACTTAGACTCTAAATGTGTGCAGTCTACACGTAATAATTATAAACCATAATAGTAATAGCTTTTTAAGATTGTACCCTTAGAATGTACTTTTGTAGCCACTATAACATATTAGAAATATGCTGATATATTGAGAGTAAAACTGAGGCACTGTTGAGATGGGAAAAAAATGTATTACTTATCATCTTAAAATGCAGATATCCAAACTAAACCCCTTCAAAGCATACACAAATGATTTCATGTGAACATATTTCATACAATTTTAGCTTGAGCTTTTTGTTTTTCACATTGACTTCCTCCTGTTTACTCATAGTACTGTTGTACTGGCTTGAGCATAGAAAGCCAACACCAAGACAAAAGTATGCCAAACTGCAGGGTCTTTATTGCTGGCGGCCACAGAGGACTCGCGTCTCTCCAACCCGTCACCCCGAAAGGAGGGTGTCAAGACCTTTTATACCCGTAAACCACCTCGGGAGTGAGGGTGAGGGGCAGGGGTGGGGGTGAGTCTTCAGACGTTCTGAGGGCTAGTGGATTCTGTAAATCACCTCCTGGGCGGAGATGAGGGTGAGGGGGTTCTGGACATTCCAGTGGATTCCTGGGCGAAGATAGGGTGAGGGGCTCCGGACATTTCAAAGGCCAGGGGAGTTTTTGACATTCTGGTTGTTACTTAAGTGGTTCACAAAAGTCAAGATTAGCATTTGTTTGCACATTGTCTGGGTAGGGTGGTGATTATAGTCCTTAATTACTTATTCACATTTGGGTTATAGAGAGCAGTTTCAACAGAAAGCTGAGGTATTATTGAGGTATGCAGTTTTATGGGGCTTTTTACCATGTCACCGTAGTAATTTATATTTGCCTACCTCTGAACCTATTTCTATTAATGTAGGGTGATTATAATTGTTTGATTTCTACTCATGACTGACAATTCATTTAATTAGAGTTATTTCCGTTTTTAAATTTCTTAAATATACCAAAAAGTAAAGCTCTGTTCTATTTTATTCTGCCATGATAGCTGGTACCCGATTATCATTTAAGGTTTCTGCTGTGCTGAGAAAGAGAATGGCTGAGAAACAGACATGGTGTCCCATTTCAAGCTTACCTCTGGGTTTGTTTAACTAGTCGACCCTTCTTTTCCCTTTTCCTGATTTCCTCATCCTTAAAAAAAAGTCACGTGATTGGTATATGATTTTACAAACTATGTCACAGTCATTTTACGATAAGGTAAGAAAGATATACGTTAACAGTCAGTTCCAGGAATGCTACAGAGCTAAAGCAGCATTAGTGTTTCTTTTTGAAATCTCTTCGTTGGACCCCTCAGTGCAGTGTATCTCTACTTTAGGGCTCTACTCTTAGATGTTCTATGCTCCAGAACAGCATACACTTGAATTGTGTTCAATACTAGAGTCAAAAATCAAAAACTACAATTTGCTAATGTTTCCTTTTTGAGATGGAATTTTATCTCATTGACACAGGCTTGGCATCAGACACCTCTTAAAGAATCTCTCCTTCAGGGAGCTGCTGCAGTTTTAGCTAGCAAATCCTCTTCCATGGCAGTTTCTTGGAGAGCGTTGTCCCTTGTATCTCGGCGTTACTGAATGGAATGTCACTTTTCCCGTTTGTTAAAATACTCAGTTCATTCCAAGCCAGTTATGCTACTACTACCCCAGCATTTTTCCATTCACTCTCTTGTGTTTTTTATAACCACTTTCACCATGCATCTTTTAAAAAAGGTGATATTCACATCCACGAATCTTGTGTATTTGTGGAATTTATAGGCTAGAGAAGCAAGTATTTGTATTAGTCCATTTTCATGTTGCTATAAATAAATACCTGATGCTGGGTAATTTATTTAAAAAAGAGGTTTAGTCAGCTCATCATTCTGCAGGCTGTATAGGAAGTGTGGTACTGGCATCACATTCTGGGGAGGGTCTCAGGAAACTTTCAGTCATGGTGGAAGATGAAGCGGAGCAGGCATTTCATGTGGTGAAAGCCAGGAGCAAGAAGTGGAGAGAGGTGCCACGTTAGATCTCACCAAAACTCAGAACAGGAACTCATTATCATGAGGATAGCACCAGCAACAAGGTATTCATTCATTCATTCATCATGACCTAAACACCTCCCACCAGGCCCCTCCTCCAATGTTGTGGGGGGCTACATTTCAACATGAGGTTTGTGGGGGCTAAACATCCAAGCTATATCAATATTATAAGCTACATTGTGATTGATTCTATGTTTATATCACATCAGTGCAAAATTGAGTATGGAGAAGGTAACAACCGATTCTTTGCTAAATCCAAACATGCTTAATTTGGATTTTTAAAAATTGTTTGTTTATTTTGCCATAGGGGTCATCAGAACATGAGGAAACCATTATGCCTACTATGTCCAACCTTATTCCTATCATTAATGACCAGTCTCAATATATTCATCATTTAGAGGCGGAAGTTAAGTTCTGCAAGGTAAGCTTCTCATTAAGAATTTAAAACTAAATAAATTAAAGCTTATATTAATTATACATGGTATAAAAATTTGCTACTATTAATCTTCATGTTTGTAGCAATACATTGACCATTGTTATTCTTACATGATTGAGATACTGATGTGTTACAAGAGCTTGTCAGACTTAGGAATGATACTCTTGATTGTACCATTTCTGACTGCTTGATTTCCCAGCAGTTCACTGGTATGTCTAATGATTTCATGATATGCTCTCATATTTCAGAATTTTTTCTTCCTACCCCATTGGCTGTAGCCCAGCAAATGGCAAATGCTTTGGAATGCAAATACCAATCATTCTCCCACATTTGTCAACCTATTGGAGCGGTGGTACAACAATCAGGGATTCCAAACTAGTAGACCAAATCTTCTCCACTGTCAGTATTAAGGCTCTTCCTTTGACTTTGAATAAGAATGGTTCATAGGGAACTGATAGTAATGATCAAGAAACCAAATGCATCACATATAGCTTGTGACACTAGAAGGTTATACGCTCAACTGTGTGCAGTTTACTAATGTCATTAATATCCTTCAAGCACCCTTTCTGCCGGAAGTAAAGCTTGTCTTGCTGAGAGGTCCTTTGTCTCAGTGCTAATTTTTCTTTGTGGCACAGAGCATCTGTTTCCAACAAGTTAATCTTTAATAGAGATAGGGTCTTACTCTGTTTTACAGGCTGGAATGCCGTGGCATGATCATGGCTCACTGTAGCATTGACATCCTGGGCTCAAACAATCCCCCTACCCCAGCCTCCCTAGCAGCTGGGACCACAGGTGCATGCCACTGAGCTCGGCTATTTCTTTATTCTTATTATTTTTTTGTAGAGTTAAGGTCTCATTATGTTTCCCAGGCTGGTCTTGAACTCCTGGCCTCAAACAAACAGTCCTCCTGCCTGGGCCTCCCAAGGTGTTAAGATTACAGACTTTTGCAAATGTGCCCGGCCAGATTTTGTTTTTTTTATTGTCTTATTGCATTAGCTAAGTAAGACTTTTGGAATGATGTTGAATTGTTGTGAGAGGAGCCATCTTTGCCTTGTTCCTGATCTTGGTGGGAAACTTACTTTCTTGCCGTAAAGTATGTTAGCTGTGGGTTATTTGTAGATGTTCTTTATCAAGTTGAGAATGTTTCCCTCTATTCCTAGTTACCGAGAGTACAGATGCTCCTTAACTTACAATGGCATTGCGTCCTGATAAACTCATTGTAAGTTGAAAATACATTTAGTATACTATAGAATATTGGTTGTTTACCTCTGTGATTGCGTGGCTAAATGGGAGCTATAGCTCACTGCCACTGCTGCCTAGCAGCATGAGAGAATATTATACTGCAAATTGCTAGCTTGGGAAAAGATCAAAACTTGAAACTTGAATTACGGTTTCTACTGAATGCATATTGCTTTTGCAGCATAATAAAGTCAAAAAAATCGTTTGTCAAACCATTGGAAGTCAGGGACCATCTGTGTTTATCATAGATGGCTGCTGCATTTTGTCAAATGCTTTTTCTACGTCTACTGTTTAATTATGATTTTTCTTCTACATTGTTGATGTGATGGATTACATTAACTGATGCTCAAATGTCAAACCAATGTTGTATACTTAGAATAAATCTTACTTTATCTTGGTATATAATTCTTTTTTACATTGTTGGATTTGATTTGCCAGTATTTTGTTGAGGATTTTTGCATCTCTGTTCATTAGCGATATTGACCTGTAATTTTCCACTTTTGTAATGTTTTCACTTGGTTTGGGTATTAGGTTAATTCTGGCCTCATAAAATGAGTTAGGAAATACTTCCTCTTGCATTTCATGAAAGATACTGTAGACAATTGGTATAATTTCTTTCTTAAGTATTTGGTACAATTCACCACTGAACTTATCTGGTTCTGGTGCTTTCTGTTTTGAAAGGTTTCTAACATTGATTTACTTTTCTTGATAAATATAGGTTTACTCAAATTATCTGTTCTTCCCTTTGTGAGTTTTCATGGATTGTGTCTTTCAAAGAATCGGTTCGTTTCATCTGGGTGACTAAATTCATGATCATAGAGTTGTTCATAGTATTTCTTTGTTACCCTGTTTTTTAAACATTTCTTCATTATCCTTTTAATGTTCATGAGATCAGTAGTGATGGCCCCATTTTCACTTCTGATCTTACTATACGATGGAATCTCCTTAGTATCTTCTCTCTTTTTTTCTTAGCTAATCTATATAGAGTCATCAATTTTACTCATCTTTTCAAAGACCCAACTTTTGATTTTGTTTTTCTCTATTGATTTTTCTATTTTTAATTTCATTGATTTTCACTCTAATTTTTGTTATATATTTTTTCTGCTTGCTCTAGAATTAATTTGCTATTGGTTTTCCAACTTCTAAGGTAGATTCTTAGATTATTTATTTGAAATTTTTCTTCGTTTCTGATTTTTTTGCACTCCATTTACTGCATCCTTTTAATAAATATATAGCTTTTTATAAGTTATATTTTAATTTTTACTTAGTTGAAAATATTTCTAAATTTCTCTTGATACCTCTTTGATTCATGTGTCATTTAGAAGGGTGTTGTGTAATCATCAAGTATTTGGGGAGTTTCCCAGCTGTCATTCTGTTATTGATTTCTAGTTTAATTCCATTGTTGTCTGACAGCATACTTTCCTGTTCTTTTACATTTCTTAAGGCTTGTACAATGTGGTCTATCTTGGTGAATGTTCTGGGTGAACTTGAAGAAAATGTGTGTACTGCTGTTCTTGAATAAAGCAGTCTATAAATGTCAATTAGATCCACTTGGTTGATGCTGCTGTACATTTCAATTGTGTCCTTTCTGATTTTTATAATTTCTGACAGAAGATATTGACATTTCCCACTGTAATAGTAGCTTCATCTATTTTCCTTTACCTTATACATTTTGATGCCCTTTTGTTAGGCACATATACATTAAGACTTATTACATCTTCTTGATGAATTGACCTCTTTATCGTTATGTCATGTACCTCTTTATCCCTGATCATTTTATTGCTTTGAAATCTGCTTTGTCTAAAATTAATATGGCTACTCTAGGTTTCTGTTGATTAGTGTTAACATGATGTGTCTTTCTTCATTTATTTATTTATTCATTGAGACAGAGTCTCACTCTGTCACCCAGGCTAGAGTGCAATGGTGGTCTCCGCTCACTGCAACCTTTGCCTCCTGGGTTCAGGTGATTCTCCTGCCTCGGCCTCCTGAGTAGCTGGGATTACAGGTGCATGCCACCACACCGGCTAATTTTTGTATTTTTAGTAGAGACAGGGTTTCACTATGATGACCAGGCTGGTCTTGAACTCCTGACCTCGTGATCCACCCGTCTCAGCCTCCCAAAGTGCTGGGATTACAGGCGTGAGCCACCAAGCGTGAGCCACTATTCATTCATTTTTAATCTATCTGTGTCTTTGTATTTATAGTTGGCTTCTTTTTTGTTCTGAGTTTTTTGTTGTTGTTGTTGTTTAGAGATGGGGGTCTCACTATGTTGCTTAGGCTGGTCTTGAACTCCTATGCTCAAGGGATCCTCCCACCACGAAGTAACTGGAATTACAGATGTAAGCCACCTGGCCTGGCTATTGTAGGCTTCTTATAGACAACATATAGCTTGTTGTTGTTCTTTTTTTAACCACTCTGACAGTCTCTGTCTTTTAGTTGGTATATTCAGACCATCACATTTAAAGAGATTATTATTATAATTGGATCAATATCTAACATATTTGTTACTATTATTTTCATTGTCTTTATTTTTGTTTCTTTAAAAAAAATTCCACTCTTGCTGCCTTCCCTTGCTTTTTTTTTTTTTTTTTTGTGAGATAGAGTCTTGCCCTGTTACCTAGGCAGCGACATAATCAAAGCTCACTATAGCCTAGAACTCCTGGGCTCAAGCAGTCTTCCCACCTCCTCCTTCACTGAGTAGCTAGGACTACACTACAGACATACACCACTATGCCTGGCTAATATTTGTGATTTTTTTTTTTTTTTTTTGCAAAGATGAGGGCTCACTATGTTACCCATGCTGGTGTCGAACTCCTGGCCTCAAGTGATCTTCCCACCTTAGCCTTCCAAAATGCTGGGCTTACCAGGTGTGAGCCTCTGCACCTGTCCCTTCTGTGGCTTTGACTGAGCATTTTCTATGATTGCATTGTATTTTTTATTTTTGGAGACAGGGGCTTTCTCAGTCCCGTAGGCTGGAGTACAGTGATGCCATCTTGGCTCACTGCAACCTCTGCTCCCTGGGTTCAATCAGTTCTCGTGCCTCAGCCTCCCTAGTAGCTGGGACTGCAGGCGTGAGCTGCCACAGCCAGCTAATTTTTGTATGATTGCATTTTTCTAACAGTTGATCAATTGTACTTCTTTTTTTTTTTTTTTTTTTAACTGGTTGCCTTAGAGTTTGCAATACACATCTGTAACTAACCTAAGTTTACTTTCAAGTAACCCTATGCCACTTTTTGAATTGTATAAATTCCTTTTAACAGAATTCCCAAGACCTCTCTCATCCTTTATAACATTTCTGTCATTAATTTAGTTATCCATAAACTACAATTACTGTCAACACTATTGCAATCATGATGTTGAACACAAAGTGTCATCTGTCAAATAAATCAATAAGAAAATATTTTATATCCACTTATTCCTTCTCTAATGCTCTTTTTTTTCCTTTATGTAGATGGCAGTTTCTGACGTTACCATCTTTCCTCCTTTCTGAAGAACTTTTTTTTTTTTTTTTTTTTTTTTTTTGAGACAGAGTTTCACTCATGTTACCCAGGCTGGAGTGCAATGGCGCGATCTCGGCTCACCGCAACCTCCGCCTCCTGGATTCAGGCAATTCTCCTGCCTCAGCCTCCTGAGTAGCTGGGATTACAGGCACGCACCACCATGCCCAGCTAACGTTTTTGTATTTTTAGTAGAGACGGGGTTTCACCGTGTTGACCAGGATGGTCTCTATCTCTTGACCTCGTGATCCACCCGCCTCGGCCTCCCAAAGTGCTGGGATTACAGGCTTGAGCCACCGCGCCCGGCCTCTGAAGAACTTTTTAAACATTTTTTGCAAGGCATATCTGCTAGCAATAAATTCCGTCAATTCTTTTTTGTTTAGGAAAATATTTTTCTTTGTCTTTTGAAGGTTAATCTTACTGAATCCAGAATTCTAGGTTGGTGGATTTATTTTTTCTTTTAACGCTTTAAATATTTCATTCATTTTATTCTCTTTCTGCTTGAGTGCCTTCTAAAAAGTAGTAACAGGTAATTCTTATCCCTGCTTCTCTATAGGTAAGGTTTTGGTTTTTTTGTTTGTTTGATTTTTTTGTTTTTTCCAATTTGAGACTGAGTCTTGCTGTATCACACAGGCTGGAGGAGATCTCACTCGCTGCAACCTCCGCCTCCTGGATTCAAGCAATTCTCATACCTTAACCTTCCGAGTAGTTAGGATTACAGGTCCCTGCCACCAAGACCGGCTAATTTTGGTATTTTTAATAGAGACACTGTTTCACTATGTTGGCCAGGGTGGTCTCGAACTTCTGATCTCAAGTGATCCACCCACCTTGGCCTCCCAAAGTGCTGAGATTACAGGCATGAGCCACCACGCCCGGCCTGATTTTTGGGTTTTGTTTGTTTGCCTACTCTGGCTTATTTTCAGATTTTTCTCTTTGTCTTTGATTTTCTGCAGTGTGAATATGATATTCCTCAGTGTATTGGTTTTGGTATTTATCCTGCTCAGCGTTCTGTGAGCTTCCTAAATCTGTAGTTTGGTGCCTGTCATTAACTCAGGAAATTTTTCAGTCATTATTGATGGAAATATTTCTCTGTTCCTTTCTTTCCTTTTTTTTTGTGTTCCTGTTACATACATATTTACATATTTATATTTGTTTGTTACGCCATTTATAATTGTACCAAAGTTCTTGTATAATTTTTCTGTCTTCAGTTTTTTTCTTTATTGCATTTCTTTTTTGGAAATTTTTATTGACAGTTATTAAAGTGTATTAATTCATTCCTTAGCTATGTCCAATCTACTGATGAGCCTATCAAAGGCATTCTTTATGTCTGTTAATATCTTTTTATTTTGAGCATTTTCTTTTCATTTTCTTTATAGAGTTTCCATCTCTCTGCTTACATTACCCTTCTGTTGTTGCATTTAGTCTACTTTTTCTATTAGAGACCTTCGCATAGTAATCATAATTATTGTTTGTATGTATGTATGTATTAATTAATTTATTTATTTTGAGAGAGTCTTGCCCTGTCTCCCAGGCTTGAGTGCAGTGGCACAATCTCGACTCACTGCAACTTCTACCTCCTGGGTTCAAGTGATTCTCCTGCCTTAGCCTCCTGGGTAGCTGGGACTGCAGGCATGCACCACCATGCCTGGCTATTTTTTTTTTTAATTTTTAGTTGAGACAGGGTTTCACCATGTTGATCAGACTAGTCTCAAACTCCTGACCTCAGATGATTCTCCCACCTTGGCCTCCCAAAGTGCTGGGATTACAGGCGTGAGCCACCACACTGGCCTTAATTATAATTATTTTAAATTCCTGTTCTGATAATTCTAACATCTCTGCCTTATCTGAGACTACTTCTGATGCTTCTTTAATCTTTGCAAACTGTGTTTCAGTCTTTTAGCCTGTCTTGTAATTGTTTGGTGAATGCTGGACATAAAGTATTGGATAAAAGGAACTGAGATAAGTAGGCCTTTCACGTGAGGTTTTATGTTTATCTGGGTAGAAGTTAGGCTGTGTTTGCTGTCACTATACATGTCAGAGGCTATAATTTCCTTCAGTGTCCTGGTTTTGTCTCTTCTCTTGTCTGTGGGTTACCCTAGTGAATTTTTCCTAAATATAATCTGAGATATGTAGTTCTTTCTATTGAATTTCTCTGTTAGTGTACAGGAGCCCTAGGTAGTTAGATGTGGGAGTAAAGGGACGTGTTCAATAGTCTTGTGACTAGATCTAAGTCTTTTAGTAAGCCTGCGCCTTGGGCTGTGACATTCACAAGTGCTTTTCAGTCTCCCCTGCCCTTTAAGTTAGACAGGATAGCTAGAGGAAGCCGGAGTCCACGTCCTCCCACATGGAATGCTGGAGGGTGCTGGAGTTGGATATTTACCTTCCTTTAGGTCAGTTAGGTGACAGCAGTACTCCCGTCAGTTAGGCTCTGCTAAAATAGTTTCCCTTGAGTCAGGCCTGTTACAAAGAACACAACGTTCTGAGCATATTTCAAAGTGGCTGCTTTTCTTCTTCCTTTAGGTTACATAAGGGGACTTTTCTCTTTTTACTGTGAAATCCTGGTAGTGTGCTGGAGATAAAACTGGGGTGGCAGGGCAGTCCTCCTATGACTGGGTCTTTCTGGAATGTTTTTTTTTTTATGAGATGGAGTCCAGTTTTGTTGCCCATGCTGGAGTGCAGTGGCACAATCTCAGCTCACTGGAACCTCTGCCTCCTGGGTTCAAGCGATTCTTTTGCCTCAGCCCCCTGAGTAGCTGGGACTACAGGTTCACGCTACCATGTCTGGCTAATTTTTGTATTTTTAGTAGAAACAGGGTTTCACCATATTGACCAGGCTGGTCTTGAACTCCTGACCTTGTGATCCGCCCGCCTCAGCCTCCCAAAGGCTAGGATTACAGGCATGAGGCAACACGCCTGGCCTGGAATTTTTAACTCAAACTTGTTGACCCTGAGCTTCCAGCAAGTCATCAATTACAATTTAGGTTTTCTAACTCATACAGAGGTTTCTGATTTCCTCCAGCAAATTGTGTGTCTCAGTGTCCACTCATCTCTTCAATTTTTGGGCAGCAGTTTTTCCTATGACTTCAGTTCTCTGCTGGATCTAAGAAGAGTTGTTGATTTTCAGTTTGTTCAATATTTTTCCTGTTGGAAAGATGCCAAGCTCATTATATTCCAGATTGAAAATTGAAAGTCTGCAATTTTTTTTAATTATAGCTTTTTATTATAGCTTTGGGTTTTTTAAAAATAATAATTGAGAATTTTTACATGTTGCACAGTTGCTTTTGATTATACTAGTAATGAATATTAGGTTAAGTATTATATGATTGATGTATTGATATTATTGAAATATTTTTTGGGAGAGTGAGGTGCCACTTAATAGCTATTCTTTTTTTTTTTTTTTTTTTTTTTTTGTTTCACTCTTGTTACCCAGGCTGGAGTGCAATGGCGCGATCTCGGCCCACCGCAACCTCCGCCTCCTGGGTTCAGACAATTCTCCTGCCTCAACCTCCCGAGTAGCTGGGATTACAGGCACGTGCCACCATGCCCAGCTGATTTTTTGTATTTTTAGTAGAGACGGGGTTTCACCATGTTGACCAGGATGGTCTCGATCCCTTGACCTCGTGATCCGCCCGCCTCGGCCTCCCACAGTGCTGGGATTACAGGCGTGAGCCACCGCGCCCGGCCCCTTAGTAGCTATTCTAATTGTTGTTGACCTGTGATTTCTTATGTAACATCCTGTAATTCTAATTGTTATTGATTTACAATTCTGTATCTTATGCCCTGTGAAGCCAAGGAAATACCCTTTCAGAATTCTTCATGAAATATTTTACTACAATTCTCTCCTCTCTGGCTACAATTTCATGGATAATCATCACACCTGTCTATGCCTTTCTATCTCAGACCCTCCCTCTTTAAACTTCCATCAGTTTTTAACACATGAATGGTATTTGATCACGGGCAATAATATCTCTTACCTCGTTTTTCAGCAGTCTACCCCATTCTTTAAAATCTCTTGGATAACCCTTTTAATTAAGGCTTTTCTTTGAGCCTCGATTCCTTGGAGAAAAGGAAATTGTCAGAAACGACACACTTCTGTGAGATGCCATCAGCAGGCCCATTGCTATATACCCCAGCCTTCTCTTTGTTATGTGGCTAGTGTTTAGATTGTCTTGTTTGTCTATATATAATTATATTTCTGGAAATGGAGAACATAAGGCTTCCAGACTTTAAACCATGCTGGTTCCTCTAATAATTAACAGATGAAAACACTGTTAAATAATGCTTAAGTAGTTTTGACCAGCAACTTCTACTAGTCTTCTTTGCACATAAACTTTTCTCATTTAATAGTTTTACTAGAAATCTGTCCTTTGTATTTCATTGGCGAATGTATGAACACAAGAACCGATATATTTATTCTTATAGTCAGTATTATAATTGCAGCGTGAATTTACTGTTGAATGTTGATGTTAAGGTGTACTTTCTATTTTGAATAAAGACGTTTAGAATACACCACTAGATATACTCAAAACTTCTTGTGTGAATTTATGTTAGAATTAATAAATCTCTTCTTTTTACTGTTAAAAAATATAAATAAATAAATAAATAATGCTTAATGTATTTGGTTTTGCTTATTATAGGAGGAACTCTTTGTAATGAAAAATAGAATCCAAGTAATTGTACTTGAAAATGAAAGGCTCCAGCAAGAACTGAAATCTCGAAGACAAGAGGAGACAATGAGGGAACAAACACTTCTGGATGCGTCTGTGAGCGCTATTTTAAATCATAAATTTATTTTAGTGTGACTATTCCCTTCTGCCCTCTCTCCCTGCCTTCTTAACTGCTTAGATTTTCTCCTTGAAGTGTGGCCAAAGTATTATGTTGGTATTTCTTTGAGACCTCAAATATCAAACTTCACTGTAGCACAGTGACTTCTCAGATGAAACGATATAGTGATATTTGCTACAGTTTCCTCTCTGAGCATATCATTTCTGCTTTTCCATATGGAAAGAGCTGGTCTGAAAGCAGGAAGTGTGTGATACAAGAAGGACTTTGTTAAGTCTAGAATCTGTTCAGAACCTTTGCTTAGATTTCTGTTGGATTTCTCTAAATTTTCCTTGAGGTCTGAAATCTAGTAAGTCTACTTAGCAGCATGATGTAGCCTTAGGGTCCAAGAATCAAATGTTAGTCTTTCCATTGTCTCTAAGAAGACTGGTGTTTAGCGAGTAATGCTTTACATAGCTTAATCCCATATGTCCTTTATTTCTTTATTGGTAGTTTAAGACGATTAGCCTTTACCAGGAGTTATCAGTGCAAATTCCTGGACTCCATCCCCTGTGAGTCTGATTCACTTGGTCTGGTTGGCTCCTAGGAATCTAAACGTTTATCAGGTTGCCTAAGTGATTCCAATGTCTGGCCCACAGTTTGAAGAACATTAGGTCAGATTCTCTCTGTAATTGTGTGATACAAGGTGATTGTGGTGACATTTAAATAGTGCATCAACTTAATATTTTCTTATGATTTAGCAGAGTACTTTTGTCTTAAACGTTTTTTAACTGTTTTGCTGTAAGTTATAGTCACAGCTTGTTCTGCTTTTTGAGACAAATTTAACTCTCCATGCGGAAGTTTTCATACTTGCCTATTCCACTTCACTTTGCAATTTACTCTGGTGGTTTTGACTTTGTCATCATTAGTAAATCAGCCGTTAAGAAAACATATGAAAGTCTTGATGGTTTATTGTGATATCCTCTAATTTTCGTTTTTGAAGTTTTTAAAAAAATTATTTATCTGAATTGATAGTTCATTTACAATCCTAGAGTTGTATGTGTTAGGATTTGCTATTGAGAAGCATAGGAGTATATGAACTCTGATAAATGAAGTGGGCTAATTAGTATTTCAGTTTAATTTTCTGCAATTGCATTTAAGTGTATGATCAGTTCTTTTCTCCTCACTGTATAACTTTTTCCTGAAGATTTATATAATTATTAGTGGTAAAAATTCCACCTTAGTTGCTTATTATTTTAATGTCAATTTGAAGAAGATATCACCATATAGAAAATACTTAGAAGTAACTTATTTTAAAAATATTCAGTGGCTTTTCTTCCAAATATGCAGTCACTTAGCAAGCAGTGATTCAATTATTCATAGTCTCCAGTATTTATATAATGGCAAAGAACTGGAAGAAGGGGAAGTGAAGTGAGAAAGGAAATTAGACAGCTCAGTGAATCAGAGGACAAGATAAATGAGTAATGCAAAAGGGGAAGGAAATGATGGTAAAAGCACACATGTCTTACAGCACGAGCAGTGAAAATGTGCTAAACAAAACTACAGGCAGAATCATGGGATAAGGTTTTAGAGAGCTTTCGTTGTTTTTATAAACATTCGTCTGAGCTAAATATAATGTAGATATTGAAATGATTCCTGCAGATATGCCAGATGAGCTTGATACCTATTTTAATGTTAGTCTTCTGTTATTTGTTATTACTGAATTGATACCCCCATTTTTTACCTGTGTGAATTGAAACATTTCAAGGCCAGATGTAGTGTCTTACACATGTAATTTCAGCAGTTTGGAAGGATGATCACTTGAGCCCAAGAGTTCCAGACCAGCCTAGGCAACATAGTGAGACTCCATCTCTTAAAAAAAAAAAAAAAATTAGCTGAGCATGCTATTGCATACCTGTGTTCCCAGCTACTTGCGAGACTGAGGTCAGAGGAACCCAGGAGGTCAAGGCTATAGTGAGCCCTTATCACACCATGGCACTCCAGTCCAGGCAACAGAGTGAGACCTTGCCTCAATAAAAACAAGACAAACGAAAAACCAGACATTTTGGCAATACATGCACAGTGCTGTGTCAGAAGTTATAACATGATGAAAGTGTTTAACATGAACAAAAGTGTTTAGAAATATCTTCTTTGAGGGAGGATGGGGTTTTTGTAATGAGTCAATTAAAATGTTGATGCTTAATCTTCCCTTGCTATATTGAAATTTGCTGATTTTAATATTGATATTCAGTGTTTCATAATGCCTTTAAAAAAAGATAATTGAAACATTTATATGGTGTATTAGGGTTCTCTCAAAGGACAGAACTAATAGGATATATATATATCTGGGAGTTTATTAAGTAGTATTAACTCACACGATCACAAGGTCCCACAACAGGCCATCTACAAGCTGATGAGAAAGGAAACCAGTCCGAGTTCCAAAGCTGAAGAACTCGGAGTTCAGTGTTTGAGGACAGGAAGCACCACCTAGCACAGGAGGAAGATGTAGGCTGGGGGGGCTAGGCCAGTCTAGCCTTTTCACGATTTTCTGCCTGCTTTATATTCGCTGGCAGCTGATTAGATGGTGCCCACCCAGTTTAAGGGTGGGTCTGCCTTTTCATATTTGTTCTCATTCCCTCTCATATCATACCCCAGCCCCCCCCACCCCCAATTAAGAAATCACACTAGGTGCAGTGGCTGACACCTGTAATTCCAGCACTTTGGGAGGCCCAGTCGGGTGGATCACGAGGTCAAGAGATGGAGAACATCATGGCCAACATGGTGAAACCCCATCTCTATTAAAAATACAAAAATTCACTGGGTGTGGTGGCACACACCTGTAGTCCCAGCCACTTGGGACAGTAGCTGAGGGAGGAGAATCGCTTGAACCCAGGAGGCGGAGGTTGCAGTGAGCTGAGATCACGCCACTGCACTCCAGCTTGGTGACAGAGTGAGACTCCATCTCAGGAAAAATAAAAAAAAAAAGCAGAAAAGGAGATCAAAGGTTTTGAATGATCTTCAGGGATTTAACACACTTAGATTTTTTTTAAAAAACTTTTGGTTAAATAGCATTCAAATTTTTTAAAGCTATCTGTGAAAGAACAAAATATCCATTAGACTAGCACTTCTTTCCAAAGGATGATAACATTTTGTATCATAAGTAAATGATCTGTGGCCTACGTCCTTCTTCCAATTTCTCCATAGAAAATTAGTACCACCCTCCTTCATTGATCTCAAAAACAACTTTAAATGCAATCATATCTTAGGGGATTTGGCTCTACCTAGAGAATCAAGTGCAAACTCATTTCATGGCATGGTGTGCTCTCAAGTCCCTTACTTGATTCTTTAGCTTCATCTTTTGACATTTATCACCTTATATTTTGACCTCCAATAATGTTGAATTGTCTGAGACCCCCGTGCAGACACCACGTATTCCATACCTCTACGGCATTTATCATGAAGTTCTCTCTCCTTAGAATGCCATTTCCATCTAGCTTACCCTTACTCATCCTTTAAGATATCACACCAGTGTCAGTTTTTTTCCAGAAAACCTTTCTTGGATTTCTGGGTGCCCTTAGTATCCCTCTGTTTTGGCAGAGGCCCCTGTGCACACCTTTGGCCTGGGACTGACATTATTAAATTGAAATTACCTGCCTAGGTGTCTCCCTTATTAGACTGTAAACTCCTTGGAGCTAAGATCGATCATGCTCATTTTTGACCCCAGTCTCTTAGCACAATGTCTGAACACCATAGGTGTTACACAAATATTTGCACTAAACTGAACTTCCAGAGTAATATGAAATAGGACCTCAGAATACTACTTTAGATGAATGTAGTTTACCATAGTCAAGCATGATATGACACTGCAGTATAGTTCAGTGTTAGGGGACCTGTCCTCTCTGTGACTACTACCATGTCCTTTGGCCCTTAGCAAGTGTTCAATAATTATTTGTTGAGTTACATTAATATAGGTATTTTAAGCCTTTTTGTACCCATAAATTCCCCAGAACTTTGGGCTGCTTGCTGCGTTGAATGTCGAGAGGGTGACATTCAATGGTACACCACATGCAACTCAGACGCGTTTGCTTTGTTTGATAAATTTTGAGTCAGTATTTAATAATGTTTCATGTGAAGAACCAGATATCTGGTCATCTGAATGTTCAATCCCACATGGCAGTAATTGACTGAAATTGAGTACTGGCTGCTTCCTTTGGGTGGCACACATTTCTGTGGTTTGTTACAGTGCTTACTCTTCTTCCTTTTTGAAACCCTGACATGCAGGCTGCGTGTCAACTCTATCACCGCACATGCACTGTTTCTTTTTATTGAAGATAAATATTTTTCTGGAAAGGCAGAAGGTCATAATGATATAGGATATTAAAGGAAAAAAAAACTATTCATTTTTTCTCATAACACTTCTGACACCAAATGTTTAGGATTGTTTTCTCCTGTACCTGGCCATTCTCCCTTTCTCTGTGGATACCAAATGGGTGTCCAGTGATTCAATTCAATTCTGACAGTCACTGCACAGTGAGTATCAGACCGACAGGGTAAGGGCTCTGTCCCACGTGACTACCTGCTACTTGAGATACCAATTGCAAATAATAGGTCTCTTGGTTATCCACAATTCTGTCTGACTTGGCTGTAAATTGGGGGTTCCTACAACCCCTTCCTAATGTTTGATAATTTGCTATAATGGCTCACAAAATTCAGGGAAACACTTTACTTGTATTATATCCTTTATATGACACTGTAGTATAGTTTGGTGTTTGGGGACCTGTCCTCTCTTGTGCCTACTACCATATCCTTTGGCCCTTAGCAAGTGTTCAATAATTATTTGTTGAATTAAATTAATATAAATATTCTCCTTCTTGTACATATAAAACCCCCAAGATCTTTGGGCTGCTTACTACATTCAGTGCTGAGAGGGTGGATATAAATGAACAGCCAATTGAAGAGGTACACAGGACAAGGTCCAGGATGGCCCCAAGTAGAGGAGCTCCCGTCTGTGGAGTTTGGGTGCACCACCCTCTTGGCATGTGGATGCGTTTGCCAACCCAGAAATTCTTTCAACCTCATCATATAGGATTTTTATGGAGGTTTTATTACATAGGCATGATTGGTTAAATCATTGGCTGTTGATGATTAAGTCAATATCCAGTCCTTTCCTCCCTTGAGGTGGGGGAGCGGGGCTGTAAGTTCTAGTCTTCTAATTATGGACTCCAGCCACAAGTCATCTTAACATACAAAAAGATACTTTTATCACTGTGGAGATCCTAAGGGTCTTAGAAGACACTCGTGTCAGGAACCGAGGACTAAGACCAAATATTTTAATGAAAGGTGCTCCTATCACACTATCACACATGTCACTCGGGAAATTTCAGGGTTTTAGGAGTTCTGTGCCTGGAACCAGGGACAGAGACCACATAAATATTTGGATCCGGACTGACAGGTTTCAGATCCTAGTGCTGCCACTTACTAGCCACTTGCTACCTCTGTGACCCACTTGCTACCTCTGTGACTTAGTGTCCTCCTGTATAAAATGGAGGCAACAATGTAACCTATCTATCTCACAGAATTGTTGTAATGATTAAATTAGTTAATATATGTGACATACATAAAACAGGGTAGAGAGCATAGAAGGCAGCATTGTGACAAAAATTATTATTAGCCATGCCTGTGTGAAATGTGGAAAAGGAAAGACAAAGTAAGAGAGCGGTGTGTGCTTCGAGAGTACGTCTTCAGAGGAGTAAAGGATAATTCCATTTGTTGAATGCACTGAAATCTAGCCCTCTTTGCTCATGTTTAGATTACTGCCTGTACCTGAAGGAATTTGACTTTGCAACACTTGTAGAATATGACCCTAATAGCCTGAAAATGTAAAATGATTCTTGTAGTGTAGAAGCATATGCTTTCTTTTTCATCAAAGGTGAGAATCGGTATTCTATTTGTAACGTATGCATGTTTATTAAAAATTGAATTCAATTGCATAATGGGCGCATTTTATTTTAGGGAAACATGCAGAATTCTTGCATTACAACAGGTGAAGATTCTGGGGTGGGCGAAACTGCCAGAAGACTGTTTTCTTATGACAACGCAGATACTGGGAAAGCTGCATCTGCTGGTGAGCAGCTAGAACTGGTGAGTGTTTGGGTGCTTTTCTCTCATACGTCTTTTTTTCTTTTCCCCTTTAGTACTTTGTTTTATTCTGGTGAAATGTATATAACAAAATTTACCATTTTAACCATTTTTAAGTGTACAGTTTATCTGCATGAAGTACATTCATAATGTGAATCAGAAACATTACCCATTTTCAGAACTTTTTGATCATCTCAAAAAACCCTCTACCTATTAAACAATATCTCCATTCCCCTCCCCACCAGCCCTGGTAACCTCTATTCAACTTTCTGTGTTTGTAAATTTGTCTATTCCCAATACCTGACATAAGTGGAATTAAACAATACTTGTCTTTTTGTGTCTGGCTTATTTCCCCTAGTATAGTATTTTCAAGGTTCATTATGTTGTAGCATGTGTCAGAATTTCTTTTCAAGACTGAATAATGTTCCATTGTATATATATACCAAACTTTATCCATTCATCTGTTGACCGACATTGGGGTTGTTTCTACCTTTTGACTGTTATGAATAATTCTGCTGTGAACATGGGCATACGAGTATGAGTCCATTTCAATTATTTTAAGTATATACCCAGAAATAGACCTGTTGGATCATATGATAATTGTTCATTCTTTTTTCTTTCTGCTCCTTAGACTTGATCATTTGAATTGTCCTTTCTTAAAGTTCACCTATTCTTTTTTCTACCTGCTCAATTCTGCTCTTGGACACCTTTAATAATTTTTTTAATTTCAGTTATTATACTTTTTAGGTCCAGAATTTCTTTTTGGTTCCTTTTTATAATGTGTTTTCTTGATTTTCTTTTTTTTTTTTTTTTCTGAGACAGTCTTGGTGTGTTACCAGGTGCCAGGCTGGAGTGCAGTGGCACGATCTTGGCTCACTGCAACCTCCACCTCACGGGTTCAAGCAATTCTCTTGCCTCATCCTCCTGAGTAGCTGGGACTACAGGTGTGTGCCACCACACCCAGCTAATTTCTGTATTTTTTAGTGGAGAGGGGGTTTCACCACGTTGGCCAGGATGGTCTCGACATGTTTACCTCGTGATCCGCCCACCTTGGCCTCCCAAAGTGCTGGGATTACAGGCGTGAGCCACTGCGCCCGGCTCTTGATTTTCTTTAGTACTTTGTCCATGTTTTTCTCTTGGCTCTTTGAGTGTATTTAAAACAATCATTTTAAAGTCTTTCCCCAGTAAGTCTGATGTCTGTGGTTTCTCAAGGATAGTTTCTGTCAACTTATCCTGTTCATTTGAGGGAGGATTTTTTTTTGTTTCCTTGTATTCCTTGTTTATTTTGTTGTTGAAAATTGAACATTTCACTTTTATCATAATGTGATAACTCTGGAAATCCTTAACTCCTTCGTTCCTAGGATTTGCTGTCTTGTTTTACTGTTGAAGGTTGTAGCAGTCATTTTGTTTTAAGACTTTTCCAAACTATTTTTGCAAAGACTATTCCATATCATGTGTGATTATTGAGGTGTTCATTCTATTAGCTCATGTTCAGCTACCATTTGACAGAGATTTCCTTGAATTCCAGGAGCTGAAAACAAATACCCTCTACTCCCCCACAAAGCTGGGGGTGGTGTGGGGAGGCAGAGAGAGAGGGAGGGAAGGAGGGAGAGAGGGAGGGAGAGAGAGAGGGAGGGAATGAAGGAGGGAGGGAGGGAGAGAGAGAGGGAGGGAGGGAGGGGGAGAGAGAGAGAGAGAGAGACAGAGAGAGAGAGAGAGAACGCAACCCATCTCTCTCCGTCTTTTCAGATTGGCTCTGTGCTGGGGCATTCTTTTCCCACTTAAGGAGGCTTGCTGTGAGCTAGGGGATTAGCTGTAGGTGGAAGCCTAAGGTCTTCTCAGGATGTTTCTAAGTGTGTACCTTTCCTAGGCATATTGTAACTTTCTATATCCCCCCCATACACACAACTGCTTTTGAATGTCCTAATTTCCCAAAGCTCAAAACAATTCTATTTTAAGACCAAATGATACTTTTTAATCCTTTGATGTATGTAACAGACCTTTATTCTTCTTTCGCTAACCTGAAGTCCTCTTTGCATTAAATTTGACATGTCAGAGTTGATCAACAATGATGAAAGAGTAAGATTAACACTGTAAATGGAATGTTCCAGGGGAAGATAGAATGAATCATAGTTCAGGCTCTCATTATCATCCACAGATGTTACAGTTTTCTAAAGGCTCTCTCTGCCCACAGTCTCCCTCCCCTGTCTTAGTCCCTAATCCAAGCTTCATTCTACTTAGGAAAGAGTACAGTTCTTCAAAAAAGAAAGTTGGGAAGACTAAGTAAATTGAATCTTTTTCCCCCATCTGAATAATTTACAGTAGCTACTTAATACCCATAGGGAAAAGACCAGTGTCTCAAGTCATCCACAATTTGCGTCAAACTAACATTCCAGACTAGTTTCTCACTCTTCTACTGTCACTCTTACAAATCTTATCTGTAGGCATGCAGACCACTCACTGGTTGCTACTTTATAAACTTATAATCCACTTTCATTTCTCTTTGAAGAACTGGCTTTGGTTTATGGAGTCCTCCCTCCCAAAATGTTTCCTTCTTACCCTCTACCTATTGAAATGTTTCCCACCTGCAGGGTGTAGTTGAAAGGCCCTCTCGCATTCTACTTTCCCCGATAGTATGCCTCCTTTATGGAGTCCTCCCTCCCAAAATATTTCCTTCTTACCCTCTACCTATTGAAATGTTTCCCATCTGCAGGGTGTAGTTGAAAGGCCCTCTTTCATTCTACTTTCCCCGATAGTATGCCTCCTCTCTTCCCTTTTCTGCATTAGAATTCCTTTCTTCTTTATGCCTTCCCCTAGTACTGTGTTTATGACTGTTAGAGGTTCATCTTTTTTTTTTTTTTGACGTGGAGTCTCACTCTGTCGCCTAGGCTGGAGTGCAGTGGTGTGATCCAGCTCACTGCAATCTCCACCTTCCTGGTTCAAGCAATTCCCCTGCCTCAGCCTCCTGAGCTGCTGGGATGACAGGTGCACACCACCACGCCCATCTAATTTGTTTATATTTTTAATAGAGATGGGGGTTTCACCATGTTGGCCAGACTGGTCTCAAACTCCTGACCTCAGGCAATCTGCCCACCTTGGCCTCCCAAAGTGCCGGGATTACAGGCATGAGCCACTGCGCCTGGCCCTTTTTTATTTTGAGACGGAGTTTCGCTCTTTTAGCCCAGGCTGGAGTGCAGTGGCGTGATCTTGGTTCACTGCAACCTCTGCCTCCAGGTTCAAGTGATTCTCCTGCCTCAGCCTCCCATGTAGCTGGGATTGCAGGCATGCACCACCACATCTGGCTAATTTTGTATTTTTATTAGAGATGAGGTTTTACCATGTTGGCCAGGCTAGTCTTGAACTCTGACCTCAAGTGATCCATCCAAGTGGATCAAGTGATCCACTTGGCTTTCCACAGTGCTGGGATTACAGGCACAAGTCTTTACCACGTTGGCCAGGCTGGTCTTGAACTTCTGACCTCAAGTGATCCATCCAAGTGGATCAAGTGATCCACTTGGCCTTCCAGCGTGCTGGGATTACAGGCACAAGTCACCTTGCCTGGCCTATAGTTTCACTTTTTGCATTTGGATCTACAACCTACCTGGAATTTATTTTTGTATATGGGGTCATAGTTTGTTCTTTTCCTTTGTGTTTATCTGTACAACCAAGTACAATGATGTTCTTTGCCTTCATGTTAGTACCTTTCTCATAAATAAGTTGTCTACATATATTTGCATCTGTAACTGGACTGTGTTTTAGTTCATTGTGCTAATACTATACTGTCTTGATTGTTATAGCCTGAAATCTGGTAGACCAAATCTTCTGACATTGTTCTTTATCCTTTGGCCTTTAGCATTTCCAAATACAATTCAGAATTGTCAAGTTCCAAAAGTCATTTTGGGATTTTGATTGAGATGGCTTTAAATTATAAATTATAGGTCATTTGAGAATCAACATTTTGTGATTTTATCTAATCCTTGTAAACTGCGTATCACTCCACTTATTTGAGTCATCTTTCATTTTTGTCAATAACCTTTCATAGTCTTCTGAGTAAAGGTTTCATACATGTTTCCTTAGAATTATTCCTTTTTATTTTTTATGCTATCATAAATGACACATATTTTTCAAATTTTTATTTTCTAACTTCTCATTGCTAGTATAGAGAAAAGCACATGATTTTTCTATTTTGACTCAATGTCACTTTCTTTTGGTTAGTGTTAGCATGATATATCTTTTCTGTCCTTTTACTTTAACCTAGTTGTACCTTTCTATTTAAAGTGGGTTTTTGCGGGTGCAGTGGCTCACACCTGTAATCCCAGCACTTAGGGAGGCCGAGGCAGGCAGATCACAAGGTCAGGAGTTCAAGACCAGCCTGGCCAACATGGTGAAATCCTGTCTCTACTAAAAATGCAAAAATCAGCCAGGTGTGGTAGCGAGCACCTGTAGTCCCAGCTACTTGGGAGGGTGAGGCAGAAGAATCGCTTGAACCCGGGAGGTGGAGGTTGCAGTGAGCCGAGATCATGCCATTGCACTCCAGCCTGGGTGACAGAGCAAGACTCTGACTCAAAAAGAAAGAAAGAGATGAGAGACAAAGAGAGAGAGAGAGAGAAAGAGACAGAAAGAAAAGAAAGAGGGTTTTTGTAGAAAGCATATAGTTGGATTTTGCTTTTTATTCAGTGTGACAATATTTGCTTTTTAATTTGGATGTCTACACCACTGACATTTATTGTGATTATTTATACAACTGAGTTTAAATAACAGCATCTTGCTATTTGCCTCCTTTTTACCCATCTATTATTTGTTCCCCTTTACCTCTTTTTCTGTCTTCTTTGAATTTATCGAGTTGTTTTTTTTGTTTGTTTGTTTTTTGTTTGTTTTTTTTTTTTTTAGACAGAGCCTCACTCTGTTGCCCAGGCTGGAGTGCAATGGCACGGTCTTGGCTTACTGCAACCTCTGCTTCCGAGGTTCAAGGAGTTCTCCTGCCTCAGCCTCCTGAGTAGCTG